CTTTTTATACTTATGTTCAATCAATCACACGCATTTCTCATACCTATACGTGAACTGAACAGATTGACGAATTGACAACAAAGACAGACAGGCTGCACAAATGTAATAATTTTCATTTACACTTATCATTGTAGACATTACATTTCTTATGATCAAATAAAGAATTTGCGAATGCAACAAACTGTGAATCGTTTGGATTATATATATATATATATATATATATATATATATATATATATATATATATATAAAAGAAAAAAAAAATTTAGATTATTCTTCTATACCTCGCTTAAAAAAGTTCGTAAAAATGGCGAAAATTAGAAGAATGTTTCTAACGAGGCTACACTAACAACGTTTATCTAATGTCTGTCTCTCTACGTTTTTAGTAACCGCCTTCTATTTATTAACCTAAGAGTTAAAGTTAGACATCACTCAGCACTTTATGCACTTTTTCAATATAATACAACACTGTCGACAAATATTACGATCACATCGTTGAAATCTTCGCTGAAGAAGTTTGCCAAGTTCTCGCTGAAAGTTTATAATACATTGTATTCTCAAATCGTCTCTCTAATTACGTTCGTCGTCCTGTTTCATGACTCTCGTAATCCACCTAACGTAATTGGGCAGCTTGGCATAAATTCCAAATTTTCCACGTTTCCCACAACCTTCCCCAAAACTAGTAATACCAAAAATAGTCCAACCGTGATCGGGTCTTCGAGGATCTCTGCACAGCAAAGGTCCACCACTGTCACCAGCACAGGAATCCATTTTTCCACGACGATAACCGGCACAAAACATATTATCAGTTATTCTATAATCCACATAAACTTGTCGACAAGTTTCTGGTGAAACTATAGGTATCTATGAGAGAAAAAAATAAATTATCACTTTCTTCAAAAAATAAAATTTGAAAGTTAATGAATTTATATACCTTAGCCTCGTGAAGAATGTCTGTACCAAAATCATCGGTCACTTTGGACTTGCCCCAACCTAAAATGGTACACAACTGATTCGTTGGCAAAAGTTGTTTTGGCGCTGGAAGACAAGCGATCCCTCTCGAGGGAGAAGGAGTCAAATTAACTGGAAGACGTAACATAGCAACGTCGTTATCAACAGTATCAGCGTCGTATTCTGGATGTATTACTACCGAGTCCACCTGCAACGATTATACCGTGTTAGCCATAACGTGTACCACAGTAATTGCTTCATGGTACGACCACTTCAACCACCATATGTATGAGATATATATATATATATATATATATTGTCTGTATATATATATATATATATATATATATATATATATATATATATATACAGACAATCGTATGTATATATATATATACACTTAGTTACTTTAAAGGGGATAAGCATGCGAGAACAAGTACCCTGAGCTCCAGTTCAGTGCCCTCCTTCACCGTTAAATCGTGTTCACCGATACGAACGTACAAGCGTTTTCTTATGCAGTGGGCGGCAGTCAAGACCCATTTCGGAGAGACCAGAGTTCCTCCGCAAAATGCTTCCTATAGAATAAGACTGTGCGATAAAAATTTAAACGACTAGCTCGGCTAATAAATAAAATTCTCTATCTCGATAAAACCTACGTGAAATCTGTTCAATACAGCCACCTGCCATGGCCAAGCTCCTGGAACAGCTGGACGACCACCGATGATTCGAGTGAAATAAGAAAGCCTAGAATTTTTCTGAGGATTCATAACTCCGCATTTCCAAGTTGGTTGAGTCTTTTCAGGAACGAAACTGTCGACGGCGTTGGGATTCAATTCATACTCGTCCAATATCACGTCTATAATCAATATCTAACATTAGTCTAACCCACGAAGATATTATCCATCGACAATTCATTGACATATCTTTACCATCGTTATCTTCCTCTCGACTCCCACGAATTTTTCGATGTATCCATCTTTGGCAAAAGCTACCCTCGACGTAACAATAAGCACTCTCTCGTATTACGTCGCGACCACAGATGCCAGGTTTTCTACACCATCTTTAAATTAATAAAAGAAAAAAAAAAGAGACAAACAAATAAATTGAGAATAATTTGTTATCATTCGTACCGCATTCGATCTGGAATTAATCAACTTGCCTGTGACGTTGCGTAGTGCATAACCTTGTACACGGAGACCATTTGCTCCATTTACCATAATGACTGCTAAATTGATCCTTGACATCGGTACCTCTTCTTCTACCATGTCTAGGCGCGGCTTCCTTTGGCAACTATGAAGTTGTCATTTATAATTGATAGATTGAAAATCTTTACATTCGACGATCTTTTATATTAAAAATTATTTTCTGATAAATCTTTAATATTCACCTGTACCACGTGGAATTTATCTGTTTTCCATCGTCCTCGACGTTGACGTTGCTTGCATCTTCTTCTACGTCCTTTTCTTTTATGCTCACAAGTACGTTCTTCCTGTCGAATATAACAATATATTTTTTATATAATGATCTGACGATTCCTTCGATAAAATTGATACTTACTCTAAGTACAGTGGTTCCACATTGACTCTTCGTCATGCATCTTCTAACACGATTTTGTGAACAGTGTCGATCGCAGACCGACCATTCGCTCCAATTAGTAAAATAAGATAATTTCGAGGATCCTGGTAAATGTAAAAGAAGAAAAATATTAAAAAAAAAAACACAAAAAAAAATTTTTTTTCAAAAAGAAAAAAAAAACGAAGAAAAGAAAATGGAGTCATTATAAATTTTGTTATTAAAAATAATATATACCGGTCTTTGGAGATTGCTCCGTAATTGTTTCCTGACTAAATGAATCTATCCAGCCGTCATCATTTACAGCCACCGTAGAACTATGATTCGCAATCTGTAATAAAAAGATTTTTATGAGTCCTTAAAACGAGAACCGAGAAAGACAAAAACAAATGGAAAATTTTCAAACGATTAGATAAGACGTCCTTTTTTTTCTTCCTCCTCTCTCTCTCTCTCTCTCTCTCTCTCTCTCTCTTTCAGTGATTAAATCTTCGCTGTGTCATAAACACGATCGATCGAATGTCTTGCTTTAAGACATGAATTTCATAGGAGAATATAAAGAGAACAGAAAAACCTAGAAGACATGTATTTCTTCGCAAGAAACGTAAAAAAAAATATAAAGTACTTATTCGTGAATAGAAAAAAAAATCGAGAGAGAGAGAGAGAGAGAGAGAAGGAAGCCATAAAGATTCTCCATCACGTAGGCAGATCATTGCAAAAACACTGCGAGATAGCGATGGTTCTTAAGCGAGAAGGAGTTAATGGAAGAAGAAGAAGAAGAAGAAGAAAAAAAGAGAAGAAAAAGAGGGTTGATACGTTCTAAACACCTCGCGAATAAGTACAAGTCCGATGCGTAACGTCTGTTACCATCAATCGAAAATTAAACTCGATTTGTCGCTTTGATAATAATACTGCGACGTAACCGCGACCTCCTATTCTTCCTACCATTTACCATTTAATCGTGCGTTACACAACGTTGCCCGAACGTAGGTAGAAAACGGCATAAAGTCACCGTCAATTCACTACTCTTTCGCTTTTAAATGCTTATTTCTGTCCTCCATGAAAACGGATCGTGTTCGCCGTAGATGTGACATCAAAAAGCTAAGGCGAGAATTGCAAGAGGAATGCATTTGTCCCTTTTTTCTGACCATTTTGTAATAATAATAATAATAATAATAATAATAACAATAATAATAATTGTCCTCGTATGTATTTGTGCCCACGCGTAAACTCTATACCCTTTTTAACAGCCTCCGTGTGTTACTGGCGAAGAAATTCATTGCATTTCTCAAGCTATTTGACAATAGGATAAAATGCATTAGCAAATATTTGCGATTCTTCCTATTCTATTGACGATGTTTTTTTTCTGTTTTTTTTCTTTTTCTTTTTTTTTTCCTTTTTTTTTCCTTATTTACAGAGAGATTGAAGAAAATCCTTTTGGTATACTGTCAAATCGTCCTCGATTCTATCGTTACACAACGTATAATTCATTGATTTTTCATCGTGTAACAGTAGACGATGACATTAACAAGATTCAAAGTCTCTCGAAATGGAATCGGACGTAGGCTCGAAACCTTCCCTTTAAAACACCACGCCTCTCCTATATCATCTGCATTGTCCCCAGTGCAAAATGGTGACGCGAAACTCACCGAGTTACCTCATCGAGGTCGAACGTCTCAGACACACCGAGAAATCTAATACTGAATATGTAAGATGCAAACGTAACGAGTATCACGATCGAAGAATATGCTCATACATATTCTAAACTAATTTATGTAATAAATTATGAGCGAATGGAAAGAAGTTTTATATATATATATATACATAGTATAATTTTATATCTGTTTATCCATTTCTTTCCCGTTTCTCAATTTAATCGTATTTAATCGAAATATTTTTCATTCGAACGGATTAACAACGGATTGTAAAAGATATTCTACGATGATAATCCTTAGAACTTAAGATATATATATATATATATATATATATATATATATATATATATATATCTATATATCGTAATAACAACAGAAGAAAATAAAATTATTATCAGTAAATCTTTACTTTTCTTTCTTTTATAATCGTTATCTTGACTCTTAACAGATCCACAAGTCGATCCGCATATAACGATACGAGAAAACAACTTTTCGAAATGCGAAGATGTCCTCTTAGCTAGGAATTCAGGATTAACGATACACCTAAGTATCATCAGTTATCGTACATAAATAAATATAAATATATATATATATATATATATATATATATATATATATATATTCTTTTTATTACGAAGGTGTGAAAACAGGTTCTCACGTTGATTACCTCTTTTCGATCGACCTCGTTTTTAAGCCGTACATTAAAAAAACGTCACGAACGATCGTTATTAATAATAATAAAGGAATTCCCTAACGAAGTACCCTTTTCTTTTCCATTTTTTTCCTTCTTTTTTTTTTCTTTTCTTTTTCCCTTTCTTTTTTTTTTTCTTTTTTATCACCCTTTCTCGCCTCTCTAGACTCAAAGAATCACGTTCAAATATGTCGATTAAATAAACGTGCAGATTTCGATTGATACAACATGTCATCCATAAGATATCAAATTACGATCAGATCGATATAAAGTTATATACATAAGTGCAATCGAATATATCTATACATAACTGAATATATCTGCACGTTGACCAGATTCGAACGTCTGAAATCGATTTCTGTTCTTATATGGATTGCCCGCTTTTTGTCGTTGCTTCTTTACGATCGATATGTATATATATATGTATGTATATATGTATGTACGTATCGTGCTCACGTATGAAACGAAATATATAATGGACGTATGTTATATGTTCGCTATAAATTTACGTAAGTACATACATATATACTTACATTCATACTCTTTTTCATTCTATCTTTCTCTCCCTCTCTCTCTCTCTCTATCTCTCTACATTTCGAATATATTCAATGAAAATAGTACAAGAACAAAAACAAAAAAGAAGGGAGAAAAAAAGATGAAAAAAATCAAGGTTGGTATTATAATCTTCTCTAATGACACAATCGATAATTATCTTTCCAACCTACTTTTTTCTTTTTCTTTTGTTCTTTACTTTTATTTCTTATCTTTTTTTTTCTTTTTTTTTTTTGTTAACAGAAACACACAAAAAATTCACTCGAAAATAAAAGTAAAACGTAAGAATAAGAAAACGTAAGAAGAAGAAAATTACTTGTTGGTATGGCACAAGTTTTATGGATATTTTATAGACATACTTATTAAAACGTCGAGTATCCTCGTGAGTGTGAGGCTGCGTTAATTATCGCCGATTCAAAGTTTATTCCGAGCTACAGAAAAGGCGACCACTTCGTAGAGAATGAAAAGGGAAAGCGAAAAAGAAAGAATATACTCGGTGGTCGTCGGAGATGGAAGACTCCGTGAAGAGATAAAGAGTGTGTGTGTGTGTGTGTGTGTGTGTGAGCGCGCGCTCGTGCGAATCTGTGTATGTATATGTGTGTATGTGTAAGAGAGAGAGAGAGAGAGAAAGAACGAAGGGGAATCTGTATGCGTCGCAGAGGACGTGTCCAAACTAGGCTGAAGCCTGCCGGTGTCTTACATCTTGGTGACGATCCAGCAAAAAGCGCGAAACGCTTAAAGGAAGAACAATTCTGTGGGGGTAAAGGAGTCCCAGAGATGAGGATGAGAATGAGAAAGGAGAAAGAGAAAGAAGAAAACTTGAGATATCGTCGAGCCGCCTACCAGAAAGACGATGGTAACTCGAAAACCACCATAAAAGAATCGATCAGCGATGCCGACGAATCCGCTGGTTGGTTCAACGTGTCGCGCTTAATCGAAGCTTTCCATCCGAGGAAAACGGTACTTTTGACGATGGCCGTTGGACTTTTCCTTCTTCGTCGGCGTGACTTCCTTAGAAAAAAAGCATTATCATCGATCTTTGAGTATCGTCATCAAGAAAACATCGTTAACAAGGGATCACGAACGTTGATAGATATCGATTCTATTTCCTTGACGATGTTCATTCGATTAAAGTTTTTCCACGTGTTCTATCGATCCTTGAAAATATATTTCTACTTATGTGCTTTATGACGCGGATGGAAGAGAAAGAGAGAGAGCGAGAGAGAGAGGGAGGGAAGGAAAGAAGAAGAAGAAAAAAAAACTCTTGGTATTAGTTAAAAGTATTTATATCATTTTTCTTCGCGAGCAAGAAACTAAAATCTAAAGATCCCAAGGTGAAAAGAAGAGGAGTAAAGTACGAAATGTCCGGCATCCGTTCTTGCACAACGACGCCTCGGTTATACCCTAGATGGTAGCGTCTCCCGTCCAGAGGCCGTCCGAAAATGGCCGTCCATTTCTTCTTCCACCGTGTAGTAGGACTACCGTCGATTTAATGCGAGGTCCTTCTGACTCGAGCGCAAGATGCACCTCTCTCTTTCTCTCTCTCTCTCTCTCTCTCTCTCTCTCTCTCTCTCTCACTACCTTCCAACGTCGTCCGTAACGATGGAATGCTTGCTATGGCGAGATCGCCAACTGATTTATAGCCTGGTAAGATCGAAAAGGGCACGATCTTCGGCACTGAGCCTCGATACCTTTCTTAACGAACGTTCCTTCGAAATAAGTTCCCTTCTTCAAGATCCTTTCTATAATCAATTACGTAAAGATCTATTTCAATGACTTCACCGTCATTGACTCGGTGTGAGTTTGCAGCTGAACGTGTTTGAAATAAATTACGCTAAACTCTACCAGCGTGGATTAAAGTTCAAAGTATCAAATGTCATGACCGATGGATCAAAGGATCATGATACGTTAAATCGTTTAATTGAGTTCTATACGTTTCTATCCTTGAAGAAAACATTGTCGTCGATTTCTTCCTTTATATTCAAACGTATCTTACAAACGTAGAACATTTATCACTCCTCTTCGTTCTCCTTCCTCCCTTTGTCCATCTCCACCCACCTTCATTTCCTTTTCCTCCTTCCCAATGGATTACAAAATACTCGTGTAAGTTCGACTATATGTGGATTTCTTCTCTCCTTTTTATTTCTTTTTCTTTAATCACTCTTTAAGGAGTAAGTAAATGTATCTCTTAAACGGATGATTATCGTCTCGTCGATCAAAACGAATGTACTATGTTCGATGTTGACGAGATACCATGTTTCTTTATTACTTCTCTTTATCTCTCTCTCTCTCTCTCTCTCTTCGCGATAGCTTAACACATCGGGTGAGATCATCTCGTGATTTACCGTCGTCCATTCGTCAACGAAGAAGAGACCAACGGTTGCTCGGATTGATAAAATATAGTCATTACCGTCGATCAACCAGCTTCTTGTTTTCGATGTCAATAAAGGAAAAAACGTTCGTTTAGAATCGAATAGATCGATAGATCGTTCAACAGCTTCTTTCATCTTTTTCCTTTTTTCTTATTAAAATCCAACCTTATTAGATAGTTTCAAGTTCTTCTTTAAAACGTGGACACGTTTAAAGGCTATATACTTTATGAAGTTACCAACGTTTAAATTCTTTTAGCGATCACGAGTGCTTCCGAGTGTTTCGTTCGTAGTTCCGTAGGATTCCGTGAGAAATAAAACTTACATAAGTACATATATACATACACACATACGTACATACATATATATATATATATATATATATATATATATATACGTATCATACAAACTCGAGCTTAGAAGTCGTAAAGCTTAAGCCCACTTGGATCGGAGAAGTTGTCGAGTCTTGGCAAAAGAGAAACAGTCACCTGCCGTGCTTTTAACCGTTGCTAACCATTCGTCTTTCTTCCTTTTTCTTCGTTTCGTTCTCTCTACGTCTTTCCCTTACGTCTTTTATATATGTTGTATATACGCGTCCGGTTTGCGTTTATGGCCACGGTTATTTCCGGATCACCGTCTCTCAGCCGCCATACGGTCGTTTTATACAAGCGGAGGACCGTGTAGCTCTTCATTGTTCCTCGACACTGGCCTTACCACCGTCCCTCACGAGCGACTTTAAGTTCGAGATGTATCATCAAGCGGGATCACGCTCTGTCTCTCTCTCTCTCTCTCTCTCTCTCTCTCTCTTACTCTCTCTCGGAGTTTTGCCAGATAATGGACTGCACAACTACCCACGAGATTTTCCTTTTCATTCACGACAGACACTTTTATATTGTCTAACGTCAAAATCCATCCTTTCTTTTTTTTTTTTTTTTTTTATTTCGATGAACTGATCGAAACTTTTTTCTTTTATCTGTTTTTTTTTTTTATTTTTTTTGTTCTGTTTTTTCTTTTTTCTTTTCTTTTCTTTAACGTAACCCTCGAGTCTCGAACTAAAGAAGGAAAAGAAAAAGAAAGAGGAGGGAAAAAAAGACAAAGAAAAGGAAAAGAGAAACAAAAAAGCGGAAGTGTTTGAAAAACAAAGTGTTTGAAGTGTAACGTTCTCGAAGCGCGTAATGTCGGATTATGCATGCATTGTGACGCGACTCCGTTTCTTCTTCTCATTCTTTTTTACTTTCCTTATTCCTCACGTTGCAACAATCCATCGACCCAGTTAATGCATGCAGTTCACGATCACCGATACCGTGTACACGATTGTATTTTCTTAAACGATCGTATCGATTTACGATGCATCGACGATTATATCATTCTTATCGTATTCCGTTCCTGGTTTGATCGAAATTGGAACGATTAATTTCACTTATCGTATAAATATCGGATAATATTGATATCCATTAATGAAACATTGAAATATTCACGTTGAAAACGAAAGTAAAAGGAATGAGGTTTAATAAAATGGTTTTATAAAAAATATATTACTTCGTGAATTCAAGCGAATTCGTATTTTGCCTTCTTTTTTGTTTTCTTTCTCTTTTCTTTTCTTTTCTTTTTCTTTTTATATTTTATTTTATTTTCTTTTTTTTTTCTTTTTTTCTTTTTTTAACTTTGTAACCGATCCCCTTCCATACGTAATTAAAATATTCCATTTCGTAAGCGCTTTTAAGTGGATTTGCAAGTATCAAATTAATTTAAACGTTAAAGCTGCCCTCACCACGGTGGCACTATTTAATACACAATATTAACGAAGGCAGCTCTTTGTGAGGCGGACAAGTTATACCGGAATAACTTGTTTTGATTCATATACACTCCACGTGCAACGGCAAACGATTGCTAAACTTCTAGCATTGCTTGGCCTCAGCTCTCAGCTGCACAATGTCACGTGCAACGTGCCCCACCGCTAATGACTCTCCCCGTTTGAATCTAAGTTGAACTTTCGTTTTACGAACCTCGTAAAATGATATATTTTTTCTTTTTTTTTTTTCTTCATTTTCCCAAGCACTATTTTGTTTTATGGATTTCGTTCTTATCAACACAAAGTTATAAAACAAAGTCGAATAGGGAAAATGGATACGTAGAGATTCGAATCTATATGCGTGTTCGTAATGTTGAGTAATATAGTCGAACCGCAGCTCAATGAAATTGCGATATCGAGGAAAAATAAATTCCAATTCTCGATTACGATTATTCTGAACGTCTAATTTTCCTGCCTAATATTCCTATTTTTTTTTTTTTTTTTTTTTTTTATCGCCCTAACTCAAAGACGTTTCCATTGTCTCGCGAGACAAGTACGAAGGGAAAAATTAAGAAGAAAAAGAAAAGAAAAAAAAATAGGGAAAAAGAAACGAAAAAAAAAAATCGAGAAGGAGAAAAAAAGATCATTTTGAACAAAGTAACTGGTAATCTACTAGAGAACCGTACGACGACATCTTTCTCTCTGTCCTCTCATCATTCTCGTAATACTCCCTTTCCTTCGTGACGACGACGACTTTTTATCGATCGCGAGTCTTACATACTTCCTGGCCAAGAGGGAGCTGAAATTCCACGCGATAGTCGTCACGATACGTCGTAAGAAGCTAATCGAGCTGGATCGAAAAGAGTACCGGAGGATTCCCCCTCGCTCCCGTGGGAGGAGGATCCTCCACGGGGTGCCGAGGAAGGTCCACTCGCGTCCTTCTCTCGTTTTCGGGCTCGTGCAAACTGAAAAAAATATAAGTTGTAGCGTGCTTTTTCCATCTCTCTCTCTCTTTCTCTCTCTCTCTCTCCCTCTCCCTCTCTCCCTCTTTCTTTCTTTCTTTCTCTCTTCTCGCCAAGGATGGAAAGACGAGCTTATCGTTTAGTCATCTTTTAAGGAGTAACAAGGTACGTTGCTTCTTGGGAAATGTAATCTCCGCTGTTAACATACTTCGGTCCCTGTGGTACTGCCTTACAAATTCTACATGACAGACCGGAGAAACGTATAGTTCGAGCTAAGACAAAAATCGTATAATATCGACGATGAATTTCATTCCTTAGATAGAGAAAGTCAAGTGGATACTCTTTATGGTTGTATCTTATAAAAGTCGAAGTAGAAACTTGACAGATTTATGGGATTCCATTACGAGCAAATTCGTCACGATAATACGCGGTGAAATCGTTAAGGTCAAAGTGCATTCTGCAGATCGTAGACTAATTGCAGGAACACTCAAGGAAGCGGTAGAAAGGTGGTAAGCCCACCTAACGTGTATCTACTATCTCTCTTTTTGTTTCTTTTTTATCTCTCTCTCTATCTCTATCATATCTATCTATCTATCTATCTATATATATATATATATATATATATATATATATATATGTATATATATATATATATATATATATATATATACACACATATATATCCGTATATCTATCTATCTTATTGAATATATAAGCCCATACCTACTCGTGGTCTAAGTTATACCGACGAGCACGATTCTCGACGGTAATCGAGAAACGGTACGGTCCAGCAGCATCCGCGAGGACCACTCCGTGACGGGAAGTTTTCTCGACGGGGTGCCAAGCGCGCAAAGAGAAGACACGCTTCGAGGTCAGACGCAAAAGATTCTCAAGAGACTATAGAAAGTTCTCATCTTGGTTTCTCGTTCTTTGATTAAGATATATCATCTCTCTCTCTCTCTCTATCCCTATCTCTATTTCTATCTAACTCTTTCTTTAACTTTTTCCATTTGATTATCACGTTCATCCGATTTATTATCCCCTATTAATTATTAAATAATAATCATCGTTGAAAATGTTTTACAAACGGATCGAGATCAATTTAAAAATCATGAATATAACGAGAAAACGAGTTTCCCCGTCAACTTCTTACTTTCTTCGAACGATTCGCCAAGCTGGAGATCTCGCAGCGGGACGCCGCCTCATCGCCGATCGTTTTACCTCGCATAGAAATCGGAGACACATATTATCCCCCACCCAATTTAAAAACCTTCCACCTTTCTCGTGAATCAACTCTCTTCGTTCGTTGAGTCTGGTGACGTTCGCGTCGCGTAAAATTACGTCGTGAATGAAACCATACTCCTACTCCTTTCCCTTCCTATCTTCTCCGGTTCTATTGACTACGAGCCAAACGACCAGGAGACCGATGGACGTCTATCGTTAAAGTTTTTTTCACAATGAATTCATATTACGAAATTATAACTAATTAACGCTAGATAACGTTCAAATGACAATGATAATGCGTTTTGCAAAAAATGTGTGTATAGTTTTTTGACACATATGATAGATTTGTTGAATTTACTCGTAAATACTTGGATGAGGAATAGAGGAAAGAAAGAAAAAAAGAAAAAAAAGAAAAGGAAAAGAAAAAATAGAGAGAAAGAGAGAGAGAGAGAGAGAGAGAGAGAGAATATCTCTCATGATACATCTGCAGGATGTTGAAAAGATATCTTGGATACTATCTTCTAGAGATTTGTATCACAAATCGTCTTATTAACCTGTCGTTGGTTTCCGATAAGGAAGGAAAAACAGATAAGAGAGAGAGAGAGAGAGAGAGACTATCTTCTATTTCTCTTTTATCGTTTTATCCTTTATATATTGAACTCTCTTTCTTTCATATGGTTGCCCTTTTCAGTCCTCTCGAGTGCCTTTTCGCCGAACAGGATGGCATCCATTATCGATCCTTGCCAGCTGGTCGCGATCGAGCTTCGAGAAGTGTTCACGCTCGTGTATGCGTTTGTATATGATTATGTTTGTGTATGTTTGTGCGTCCGATAACCTCTCGCCCGGAATAATCTTGCATATTTTCGATTTGCCGTTGAGCCGAACACGAACGATACGATATGCTCGCGCGAACACGCGTCCTGTACGTAAGTGAAGAGGCACGTGACAGCTGAGAAACTAAATATAAAGCACCTCTCCAACTCTTCTCTCTTCTTTCTTTCTTTCTTTCTCTCTCTCTCTCTCTCTCTCTCTCTCTCTCTCTCTCTCTTTCTTTTTCTCTTTCTCTCTCTCTTTTTCTTTTTCCGTTTCTTTTATGTCGCAACAACACACCGTTGCAATCATATACCCCACGTACAAATTAGCAAACTCGAAGAGAAAAAGTGTAGGAAAGTTTCGAGAACATCCACGCTCGAATATCATTTTCTCATTTCTCCTCTGAGAAATATACTTTTTTTTTCTTTTGCATTTCCCCCGTCATAGGAAAAAGAAAAAAGGAAAAAAAAACAAACAAACAAAGAATTACGATCCGCGTATAAAACACGAGAGCATTTCGTTGTTTCTTTTTTTTTTTCTTTTTTCTCTCTCTCTCTCTCTCTCTCTCTCTTTAAATTAATCAAGATTATTAAAGGATTCCTCGTGAAAGATATTTCGTGTCATTAATGGTAGTGACGATAGTACGAAATTATCGTGATTAACGTCGACCTCCATGAGAAAGCACTTTGCAAAACGTCGACACTTTACACCGACCGTCGTACCGCATTACGTACAATTTAGAAAAGTAAAGCGTGCTCGTTAAGTGATTACAGCGATAACATCTAACAATATTATCGGCTCTCACCAAGGCTCAAACGCGCAATAACAACGACGATGACGACGACGACGACGACGACAACGACGACGACAACGACGACGACGACGACGACTACAAAGACGACAAAAGAGCACGTGTGCATGGAATATTAGAATTCTCTAGGAGGGGCATCCGACAAGATCATCCGTGGTGGAATTCGAGGATGACCGAGAAACGAAATTACCGTAATTACCTTGGTATGCCTAGACCTAAGAAGAAGAAAAAGAAGAAGAAGTAAAAGAAGAAGAAAGAGAAGAAGAAGTCAAGGCTGTCTTTTCTCTCGACTGTCGAATAGTAATTTCCTTTATACCATATTTTTCGAATCCTCTTGATCCATCATAAAAATTCCTAATCTAAGTATTCCACTCTTCTCGTTTTCTTCTAAGAGTTTAATGAAAACAAAAGAAAAAAGAAAAAAAAAAAAAAAACAACAGAACAGAATTCTATCGTCTCGATAAAAGCCGAAGCTCGGCGATATAATAGTGATAAAGATAAGTAATCATTCATTTTACGAATGTGTTAATGTAATAATGAACACGACGACGTATTGTATTTATTTCTATTATAAAAATAAAATCAAATTGTATATAATTGATTTTTATATTATCGCAATTTTTCCGATACTTTATAAAACTTTTTCCCGTACAATCAATCCGTTACGTTTACTTAATTACTTGATCAATTAATTATTATCAATAATAATAGAATGAAAATAAGATTATTTCAAGCTTGATATCGACGAAATCGATCGAGCAAAGAAAGTATTAGAAAGTAACTCAATACCGAGATAATACTATTTGCTCGCGGTTTACGGTGTGCGAAACTCCCGCCACGATCTTGAGAATTATCGACTGACTCCATAGTATTGTACCCCGACGCGGAACTCTTCCTGATCGAAATGCTAGAAGAATTATATCGACTTTGCACGCGATATACGAGAGTTACCTAACGCCTTCCGACCTTTTTCTCCTTCTTCAGAAGCTTATGTATTTAAATGATATATATATATATATTTTTTTTTTCTTTTTCTTTTCCTTATTTTTTTTTTTTTTTTTTTTTTTTTTTTTTAATGAACTTTGTCCAGATCTATTCGCGGACAAGTGAAAAATTAAGAGAAAGAGGAAGAGAGAGAGAGAGAGAGAAAGAGAGAGAGGGAGAGAGTTCGCGAGGATTTTTATAAAATGATTGAACGCGTCGGATGAACAGACGGTCGACCTTGTAGACACGCGTTTATTTTAATCCTTCCAGATCCTGACTTATATGCGAACTCGTAACATCCTCATCTTATGTCACATACGTGTGATGTATTATCAAAATAAAAAGAGAAGAATTTAAAAAAAAAAATATAATAAATAACACATAATATATTTTCTTTCTCTCGGTCGATCGATCGGACACGGAAATGCGAAGGATTAATTTCATAAATATAAAATTTCATTATCATGAAATATAATGGGCATTCGTTATCATGAATATCCTCAGTAATTATTAAATTAAATATTAATTGAAAATACAAATTGAAATTAATGAGAATTGAATCAAAAAAGAAAAAAGAAAAGAAGAAGAAGAAGAAGAAGAAAGAAAAAGGAAAAGAAAGAAAGAAAGAAATAATTGAAATAAAATAAAAAGGAAATGAAAAAAAAAAAAAAGAATTATCGATGAGGAAACTCACCAATGTATCCTCGAGCGTATAGCTCGAGGCGACGAGGAAGAATGGAAGTAGAACAAACGTGATCCTGTTGATCATAGTTGAGGACGAAGAGGATAACAGTGAGGAGGATCTCGCGGTGGGCGAGCGCGTCGTCGTAGCGGGCGCGTGCTTCCGTCGCGGACGCATCGCGTCATGATCGCGACGTGTCGCGCGCACGCTTTGTCTTTTCCCTCCTCCTCCTCCTTTTCCTCCTCCTCCTCCTCCTCCTCCTCCTCCTCTTCCTCCTCCTCCTCTTCCTCTTCCTCTT